TTAGTTTTAATATTACTCTTATTATTCTTTCTGGGTCACAAAATAAACGTTTAACATATTTTCAGGGAAAATGTGTAAACCTCAAATATCTGCTCAGTTTATCAGGACACCACATATTTTCAAAAGCGCTCCGACGTTTTCGGAGACGTCTGTTACCCACTAGCTCGATAGCGAGCCGGGGGCAAGGCTCACTAGAGCCGTGAGAACACCGGACTCCCGGCTTCAAACCCACCGCTGTCTTTCGCTACTCAGGTTAAACATGATATATAAGTCACTTAGATAACTTAAAAATGTTATTGTTTGGCTTTTTTCACTGTTTTATTTGTTCCTGAGTAAATCGGTTTGGCTGAGATTAAAGTTATAGTTTTTACACAGCTGAATAAATGTCAAGCGGACAACTGATTATCAGAAGTGTGAGACGGTCGAGAGTTTACTCCGGTGTCCTGTTATATTTTAGATACCAAGGAGCAGACGGCTGAGTTTATTAAACTCCATCGAAACAATCTGCAAATGTCATTAAAATTTAATAAACTATCATCTTGTCTTTATTTTTAGTTAGCACATACCTTAAACACTTAAAGCTGTAAGCTAATGATAGCTATATGAGCAGATGCTGCTGGTGCAATAAGCTGTACGTTTTACGTTCAACGGATGATGATCTTATTAGTCAACTAATTGCAAAAATAATCGGTGACTAGTCGACTACCAAAATAATCATTTGTGGCAGCCCCCTGGCAACACTTTGCTAGACCCGCCCCTACACAGTTACCAGCTGTCAGCTACATAGAAAAGGATCCTGGTGTTATTTGTCTCTCAGAAACAGCTCATAACTTCAACTCATTCATGTCACCTAAAAGGTAAACCTGTTTCTCCATCACCTGTTCAGCTCTGATGATCCAGTAAGGACATCTCCTGGTTTCATCTTCATGTTTCCCTCTCACCACATATCCAAACCGACATCATGACCAGCAGCTTTACAGCTGTGGCTCCAGCAAACATCAGCTGATACTAGAAATTAATATTAAATAAATGCTAACAACAGCTGATCAAGCTTAAACGTGCTGCTATTGTTTAATGCGACCTCCACTGGTTTCCTCTTTCTGATGCAGAGAAAAAAGCCGATCAGCTGATCATTGATCAGTTTCATGATTGAATTAGCAACTTTCTAGCTGAAGTAGTATGGGACAAATCGCGTTCCTTTTCACATTGACTTTAAAGTTTGACCTCCTCGGCTGTAATTGGTCCAGCCCAGAGTTGATCATGACCAACTGGCCAATCCACCACTGTTCATTTATACCGTTAAAAAAAAAAAAGAAAAGGAAGAAAACCCCATTGGCCCATAAAAACGAAAAATCACTAGCGGCCCACCGGGCAAATGCCCGGTATGCCCGATGGCCAGTCCAGCCCTGAAATACAGTCATGACAATAAACGAATATGAGTTCAAGGACTTAACAACATTACTTCAGTTACATTACACCAACATCTCTGATACATTAGCACTAAGGGAACACTGAATGACCTGGTGGTTTATGTCCATCTAAGATTGCCACAAAGTAAAAGATCTCTCAGCAACATTATGCAACATTTTAGCCACATTATTGCCCCGATCAGATCAGTGAGCTGGGATTTTCTATTCTAAGCATGAGCTACTGTTACAGCAACAGACATTAATGCTACTGGTGTCCCACACAACAACTCAATGTCCACTATGTGAAGCAGCCAAACATATGCCTTCTCCTCTCGTTAACAGAGATAAATTGCTGGCATATTGGTTTTACATCTATACTGTCCAGTCTCTCCTGGTGGACATACAGCAGCATTGTTTAATCTCATTTGAGTCATTATTGACTTTAGCCATGTTTTCTGAGAGCACTGAAGCTTCTTTCAGCCTCAACTGAGGATACTGGGATGACTAAAAGCAGCCTGACAATTGTCATGATAATAAATACTAGTTAATCTATAGCACCAAATCATCAGCCAGTCACCTGTGACCTCGCCTCTTCACCTCTGAGCTACAACATGGCAGAGCTGCCTCTGTCACCTGATAAACAACAGTGAGACACTCCACATACATGCAGTCAGACATGTGCTTCAAATACAGTCATGAACCAACAAGTCATCATCCAATTTCACCTGTGATCTTGTGTCACCATTACTCTCTGAGCTTTGTGTTGGTTCTTCTGTCACCTGACAAATAGGACATACATGACAATAAGAATAAAATGTGGAGCTGCTTCAGTGTTTCTGTCACTTTGTGCAGATCTTGACTCATCAGTAATGTTTGTAGGGTGAGTGCGTTTTTACAACAATTTGTGCAAACTGCACTACAAGGTGGACTATTTGCAAAATCGTGACTATTCCTATGAATATGTCAGTGCCATTAGGATGAAATTATTTAACAGCCTCTGTAAACTTATATCCTGGCTGCTCGAGGCTGCTGTTTTCTGACAGTTTCAATCAAAATTAGAAATGCTGCTCTGAGACTGAGAGAACTAATAGTGCTGCATGTTGTGCAGTTAGTTTATAAAACACGTTATTCATGGTTACATACAATTTTAGACTGATGTGCGCCAAAACCTAGCATAGCCTGTAACGTTATTATGACGGACACATTTTATGAGTGAGCTTTGCTTTAAGTGACTTACAGGTTTCTTTGAAAAACACTTTCTTATATCCAGATTCTTCCTTTTTGCCGCCGTCCTCCTCGCAGCGCATGTTTGCCGCTGCTAAAACTAAACAGAGCTCCCTGAAAGGCTCAGCCAATCACATTGGCCATATTTGTCACATGACGTAGGACTCCAGTAGAGAAGTAATTTAACTCTTTCTGCACCGCTGGGTGTATGAGACGCTGACAGATCGTTTTTTCTTTCTATCGGGTTGTTTTTCTTTACTCGAAGAGATAAAATTATTGGTGGGGACAATTCAGTAATCGCTGGATCGCTGGTGGGGACACGTCCCTTCCGTCCATGCCAAATCTATGCCCTTGGTTCAGATGCTGATTCATGGTTTTCTTTTGTTTTTGATCTACTGCAGAATATTTTTATAAAATCCCAGGCCAGGAAAATCACCTAGATGTTTTTCTGTGATAAAGTCTCACAATTGTCAGCGTTCTTTTTATAGATATAAAAATATGGAAATGTACTGATGCATGAGCTGAATTGTAATATTTCTGTCTGAGGCAAAATTTCCCCGAATCGAATTGTGGATTGAATCGATTCTAGAAATCACTGACGATACCCGGCCCTACTGTCGCCCATAATATCCTATTAGAGCACGCTGTGGGTGCTCAGGTACTGCACTGCAGTGGTTTGAATCATATCTATCTAATAGACTCCAATTTGTTCATGTAAATGCACACTAAAGTTAATTATGGAGTTCCACAGGGTTCAGTGCTAGGACCAATTCTGTTTACATTATACATGCTTCCCTTAGGCAGCATCATTAGAAGACATAGCATACATATACACTGCTATGCTGATGACACCCAGCTCTATCTGTCCATGAAGCCAGATAACACACACCAATTAGTTAAACTGCAGGAATGTCTTAAAGACATAAAGACCTGGATGGCCGCTAACTTTCTGCTTCTTAATTCAGATCAAACTGAGGTTATTGTACTCGGCCCTGAAAATCTTAGAAATATAGTATCTAAGCAGATTCTTACTCTGGATGGCATTACCTTGGCCTCCAGTAACGCTGTGAGGAACCTTGGAGTCATTTTTGACCAGGACATGTCCTTCAACGCACATATTAAACAAATATGTAAGACTGCTTTCTTCCATTTGCGCAACATCTCTAAAGTTAGAAATATCCTGTCTCAGAGTGACGCTGAAAAACTAGTTCATGCATTTATTATTTCCAGGCTGGACTACTGTAATTCATTATTATCAGGTCCTAAAAACTCCCTGAAAAGCCTTCAGTTAATCCAAAATGCTGCAGCAAGAGTCCTGACAGGGACTAGAAAGAGAGAGCAGATTTCTCCTGTTTTGGCTTCCCTTCATTGGCTGCCTGTATATCTTAGAGTTCATTTTAAAATTCTCATGTTTGTTTTTAAATGTTTAAATGGTCTTGCCCCAACTTACCTCTCTGAGCTTCTTTGTCCTTACCCACCCCCCAGGTCTGCTCCTGGAGGTACCCAGGTCCAAGAGGAAGCTCAGAGGGGGCGGGGCCTTCTCTGCCCCAGCACATTAGAGAGGCCCCTTCACTGTCCACTTTTACAACACGTCTTAAAACCCATTTTTACTCTTTGGCTCATGACACAGTCTGACCCTGATTTTATTGTTTTAAATGTAATTCTCATCATCATTTTTATACTATTTTATTATTGTTTTTGCTATTTGTGCTAATTTTATTATTTTAAATATCATTTTAATAATTAGCTTATTTTGTTATTTCTTATTTTTTAACATGTTTAATGTATCATTTCTGGGATGTCAAGTGTACAGCACTTTGTGTTCAGCTTGGGGCTGATCTGAAAGTGCTATATAAATAAATTGCTTGCTTGTAGTTGAATGGTAAATGGCCTGCATTTGTATAGCTTTACTCAAGTCTCTAAGGACCCCAAAGCACTTTACACTACATTCAGTTATTCACACACTGGTGATGGTTGTAGCCACAGGCACCCTGGGGCGCACTGACAGAGGCAAGGCTGCCGGACACTGGCGCCACCGGGCCCTCTGACCACCACCAGTAGGCAAACATGGGGTTAGTATCTTGCCCAAGGATATTTGGCATGCAGCGAGGAGGCAGCCTGGGATCGAACCACCAACCTTCTGATTAGTGGCTGACCTGCTCTGCCACCTGAGCTACAGCCAAGCCAGTTGAACAAAGAATCGACCCTAACTCTCCGGTTAGGTTAATAGACAGAAGATCAATAAGTCTGATTAGTAAATCTGTAAGTAGTTAATTATTGGTTTTTAATGTTTTTCAGTCTTGTTTTGTTTTTTTTGTTTCAAATATTTGTTTGGATTTTGAAGCAGAAAAAAAAATCCAGACAAAATAAATCAAAACAGGAAGAAGTTTTATTTTGACATTTGAAGAAAACGCGTGTCATTATTCAAAAGATTCAAATATGACATGTGACCTCAGAAAAAGGTTAAAGTTCAAACCCTGCAATAAATCAAATAAAAAACAAACAAACAACTTTTTATTTATCAACCGATTCAAAGTCCCGAAACACATTCAGTGTCTGAAATCAAAGGTTCAATAAAGTGATTGATTACCAAAGCGTTACCCAGAATGCAGCAGTGATAACGGCAGCTGCGGCCGGACCCTCACCATATCATTGAGTGTAACCATGACTACACAGAAGCTTTGAACCGGCCGTGTCCCCTCCCCCTGTGATGATGATGTCGATGATCTCGTCCTTTCTTTCGTATCGTATCTGTGAAAGAATAAATGAATGGTTCTGTTGGGCCCAGGTGGCTGATCCTGAAAGCCAATTGGATAGTAAGCTGAAGGTGATGCGATGGCCCACCTTTTGTTTTACATCTTGATCGCGGTGGGCAGACTCTCACTGGCTGTGTCCCAATTCAGGGTCTGCACGCTTGAAGTACGCATTTTAAGTGTGATTACGTCACCGCCACGCGACGGCTGTCCCAATTGGAAGTGTACTTCAAATGCATACTCCAAATGCGCCGTCGATTTCCCCAAATATCAAGCGTGGCCCGGTGCATGCTTCGTGGTCCCATATATCCCACAATTCATAGTGCGGCGGTGGGTGTGGATAATTTTGCCGCGAAATATGGCAGAAGGGAGCGGCCGAAGAGTGAACTGTCAAAAGTAAGTACTGAATATGATATCAAGAATTTATGTGCGAATGTTTAATAATGAAGAACATTAAAACATTGCTGTTGGCCACATGTCGGCAAAGTGACATTAGTGATGTCTGTACTTTCAGCGTTAACTTGGTTGTAAAGCCATATATATGTATATATATATATATATATCTCAATCATAATAATCTGACAATACTATAATATTGGCCATATTATATTTACATTACCACAGTGAGTTGACTTTAGTCTCATGAACAACATTAACTAATTGTTATTTACTAACTAATCCTAAATGACTGTTCAGTACAGAAATGAAGCCCAACAATCATGTTTTACAGTCCCGTGGTCTCAGCCTCAGATACTCAACTAATCAAAGTGATGTCATGACAAAAATGAATGACCAACAAAACATTTTTTCTTCTTCATTTCTGTCACACAAAGCTGTATGTACCGTTTCTCACGGTTAGTTTCATGGTTGCTAGGCAACCTGAACAGCGCGACGAAGGCTAGACCATCCCATTTCACAAGCCTCTCACTTCCGCACTTCTCGTACTTATAGTACGCACCGTACGTAGTACGCGTAGTGTGCGTACTTCAAGCGTGCAGACCCTGAATTGGGACACAGCCATGGACTGGTCAGACACAGTGGCAGCTGAGCAGGTCTCCATGTGAGCTGGTGATGACTCTGACTCTGTGATTGGTCAGTCTCTGCAGGTCAGAGGTCAGCCGCAGCAAACGAGGACTCGGCTCAAAGATGACCCGGCTTGGGTCGCTCGGGTCAGGTCTGTAGTACGAGTCCAGAACCTCCAGAGTGTCTAGGCGCCGCAGTCGCTGCAGCTGCAGGAAGTCATCGTCAGACACGTGCTGGTGCCTGAAACAGCGACGGCAGGTTACCATGGAAATCATCATGACACTTACAACAGAGACACTGCGTGTGACGTGTCGGGCTCACCTTATCCGCAGCGTTTTCAGATGAGGGAACAGCTGTGGGAGGAGTCTGATGAGGTCGGACGACGAGCTCCAGGGCTCCAGGTGAAGATGCTCAAGCTGCGGTGCCCGGGCGGAGACCACCCGCAGGTCGTTGGGCTGCAGGTCCACACACAGCGTCAGGCTGAGCAGCGAGGTGGGCAGGAAGTCAGCGTACGATGCCAGGGGGTGGCCTCCTATTGAATATGCAGACATAAGAGAGATGCTCAGATAGACAAATACGAAGGGGGGAAACAGACACTCACCGTGGATGCTGAGGTTGGTTAGGTGTGGCAGTGACGTCAGCCACGTCTGCAGGTGACAGGTGGGTCCAGGTACGGAGTACAGGTGGAACACTGACAGGCTACGGAGGCGGGACAAAGGCTGCAGCGTTTCCTGTGTCACCACGGCGTCATAATTCAGCAGCTGCAAGTCCAGCAGCTGCAATGCGGCGTCACCTGCAGGACGATAAAACACACCTGAGCCATGTGACGTCTGATCTCGCCTGTCTCTGTTCCATCTCAGAGGTGAGGCAGGTCAGCAGGAAGGCAGAACACACCAGTGCCTAACCATCAAGATCAATAATCTAACTATTACATATCTCAGCGAGCGACTGATCCAGGTGTGCCAACCTGTGTGGTGGGCGGGGCTGAAGAAGTCGTGTGGAAGTGTCCTGTAGGTGATCATGGTCCAGGACAGGTGTGTGAGCTCGCTCAGGTGAGCGAGGACACCGCTGAGGGACGGGACCCTTAGGCTGCCGTCGTGGTGCAGCAGTAGCGAGGTCAGACACGTCAACTGACCAACGGTGGCCAACAGGTGAGAGGCAGAACAGGTGAGCTGCACGTTACAGAGGCTGAGCTGCGTCAGCTGCTGACTCAGAGGAAACAGGAAGTCCAGGTTCCTCAGCGGAATGGAACAGGAAGTGACGGACAGTCGCTGAAGCTGGCGGAACAGTCTGAGATCATCCACGCCCCCTTCTCTCCAGTCGTCCAGTCGCAGGCCGCAGAGCGACGGTAGCCAGGCGTGCAGCTGCTTCAGGTGCTTCCTCTTACCTGAGCGCAGCAGCACGTTGCCCACGTGCCTCTGAGCCAGGCTACGCCAGAACGAGCGGTTATAGCGCGAGAGGTTCTGCAGCACCACGCTGAAGCCCCTCCACAAGGGGCGGGACTTATCCAGCAGGTGTCTGAAGTATGAGCAGGTGCAGCGCATGCTCAGTTTGTCCCTCCAGGACAGAAAGCTGAACACCTTCAGCCACAACTCGGCCGGAAGCTGCAGCGCCATCTCTCACCTCCGATAATCGATCACGGAGCTACCTGAGCAGCGGCCCTAACGTCATCACAGCCGCAACACCGCCTTTTTGATTAGCTGAGATCGTGTCTATGGTCAGCTCCAACAGTTCTTCTTACTCTGCCTGCGCCTGCGTGATATTATTGATTATCGCCAGATTTTAAAAGATCTCCACAGAAAAAGAGAGTCAGTAAAAGTACGGCAGTCCCAGTGTTAGCGCAGGCGCAGTGACACTTACTTACAACATCCGGTCCCAGTGCTGACGTCACGGCCAGTAAGTTTCAGACGTTATTGCGCATGTCAGAGTATTGAAAAGGCTGCATCGTCAGTCACGTGTAAGAGCAGAAAATCAGTTTAAAGTCAGAACATTGCTTCTCGCGCACAGGTGAGTTTACCTGAGGAGTGCCGAGACCGGAAACCAGACACCCGCGGTCAAAGAAGACGACTGGAAGAAAAACCGCCGAAGAAGAAGCTGAGCGGGTGGAGCTGGTCGGAGCTGATCGATCAGATGGAAGGTGGGTGATTGATAATCGATCCACACGTGACTAACCAGCTGATCGATGGCACGCGCAGCAAAAGGTATCAGCTGACTGGCGGAAGCCTTTCCGTTATTAATCAGCGATCACGCGCTCAGGGTCAGAGCTTAGAGACCAAAACGACAACAAAGAGTGACGTCATATGTATACACCTGAGGTCCCTGTAGGATTTCACCTTTGCCTGGAGTCACGTGGACCATAAAGGTGGGCAGCTTGATATCGATTATTGACCAGCAGGAATCATTATCGCTTCAGACCGGCAGCGTTACCATGGTGAAATACCCCCTGACCCAGCTAAAGTCAGGTAAACCCTGAGTTAGCTGGATGAAGTGACCTCTGGCTGCAGTGGATGAGGTCAGTGAAGCCAGACAAGGCAAGAAATCCTGGATATGTTGGACTGGCTTCATGGTGGGTTAGGGTTAGTTACGGTTGACCTTTGACAGCTGAATGATGCAATGAGGTGACTTCCTGAAGGCTGCACATGTTAAAGTAGCATCATGTCTTTGATTGGTCAGTGACGAGGAGCCGCTCATATTTGTTTGTTTTTAATTTGCTTTACTTCATTTTATTAAAATTTTTGACATTTGTATGTTTTTTTTTTTGTTTTTTTTTTTTAAATGACTTTTTTTTTTTACAAAAAGTTTAGAAATGTTGTCACTTTCTGAGCTGTGAGATCACAGGAAGTGACAGAGGCCGCTGTGAGGCGGCGAGCTGCACGTTGAGAACCGAGGTTTACGCAGGTTTTATGGATTGTCTTGTGTCGCCTGCACGCTCTGTCACTAAAACCATCAACAACAAAATCACGTGACTCTGTTTTCAGGTGACATCTCAGTGACGTCAGCAAACAGGAAGTCTGCTGCGATCACAGGAAGTGCGAGAAAGATCAAAGACAACGCTGCCGACTGGCACAACATGATGCTGCGGTGGGACAGGTTGAATGAGGATGGCTTCATGGCGGTGGAGAGCATCATCAACATGAGGCGGTCAGTTTACTGATGATTTCAGGAATGCCAGGTGTTGATCGATCATGTGATTGATCGATCTGAAATCTGTTTTCAGTGCTCAGAGCGATCAGCTGCTGCTCAACAACTCTTCATCGCCTCCACCCTCTTCCTCATCACAGCACGTGGGCGGAGCCTCCGAGCTGCAGGACAAATGTCTCAAACTGCAGGAAATCGTTGACAAAATGGTGAAGCTTCAAAAAACTTTATTTACACTTAGTTTCAGAGACAAAAACAAAACACTGGTTCAGAATCCAATCAATAATCTCTCACTCACACACACACACACACACACACACACACACACACACACACACACACACACACACACACACACACACACACACACACACACACACACACACACACACACACACACAGCAGCTCCATCAGTGATCAACAATCTGAGTGCGGAGAGTAAAAGCTCACACAGACCTTTCAAAAGAAAGTGAGAACAGCTTTTATTGACCACTGAACAAAAGCTGATCAGTATTGATCTTGACTGAGCATGTGACACAGATTAAGGCTCCTCCTCCTTGGGCTGATGCGCACAACTGCTTTACGAAGTTAAACTGAATCTCAGTTTGTTGATTTAAAGTGATGCCATCATCAGGTTCACCTTTTCCCATCTTTCTCTGAGTGAGCTGGATCAGTTAAACCTGAACTCCCAGATAGAGCTAATCAAGCAAGATAATAATCAATAACAGGAATCAGGAAGGAGGCTATCAGTGTTCTGCTGGAGCCTCTGAGCATGCTCATATGACAAGCATTTTACACGTATCATGTGACCGATGAAGGAGCTCTGCTCTGATAGGCTGATCAGGTTTGATTCTGTTCATGAGGACGCGGCGTTTTCAGTGGGAGAAACATTTCGTCACTCTTCCAAGTGACAGAATCAACTTTTTGGGATTCGCTTACCTGGCTCATCGAGCATGCGTCAAGACCTCTAACACTGTGTGACATCATTTCTTGTTTCCTGTCAGGCTGCTGTGGTGACGAAGATGGCTCGTCTGATGACATCACAGCGTGGAGTAGAGGATCTGGAGGCGTTTCAGTTTGGAGCCGAAGGAAGAAAAACTCCTCTGTTTCACAGCTGGAGCACCAGCGAGTTTGGTGAGCAGCGTGGCTGATGGAAACCGTGTAGCAGCTAGGACTGGTCAGATGAAGCTTAATCTTAATTTTACGTTTCACTTTAAATCCGATGATTCAGCCACAGTTTACTGATGGAGCTGTGAGATTAGTTGCCCATAGCAACAGCCTCCAGCCAGATCCGCCCTCTACTCAGATTTTATTCAATTGTTTCTGCTGCGGTTTCTGCTAACACTAACAAATTCCATTAATTCTGCCATTATAGGATAAAAATGCTTAAATTGTGTCAACAATTATAATCTGATCTCATATCAACTTCATGATCAACGATGGCTGTCTGACAGTCATTGAGTAAAACACCAAAGTTTCCAACGATAAAAGACAAATGTGGCTCAGCTTTCACTCAGCTGCCCGCACGCTGAGCAGAGAAGGTTGAAGTCAGAGATGCAGAAGCTGTAAACGATCCAAATAGAGCCACGCGGGATGAGCTGGAACCGGATTCGGTCTGAATCTGTGATCCGAATCCATTTTGGATCTGTTCCGGAGCCTGCGATTCCTTGAAGCAGATCCAAACATGTCGAGGCTCAGACTCGGAACCTTTAAAATGTGGTTAGATGACATTCAGGGACTGAAATGTAATCCGATTACCAGGGCTTTAATAGTTTTGCAATTTTCATTAGTTTTTATTTTGATTTAGTTTTGACTTCAGATTTTCAATTTTATATCAGTTTTAGTTTTTACCAATTGTTTGCTAGTTTAGTTTAGTTTTTATTTTTTTGAAAATCCTTAGTTTCAGTTTAGTTTTGATTAGTTTCAGTTATAGTTTTAGTTGTGTTTGCAATAATTAAGTGTAACAAAATCCCAGTTTCATCATATCAGTCATTCTCTTCTGCTTATCCTTGGGTATGTTGCTATTCCAGCTACCATACCCTGCACCCTGCACAGGTCGCCTGTCTGTCGCAGGGCTAACACGCAGAGACAGACAACTCACATTCCCACCTATGGGTTCTTTAAATAAATAAATAAATAAATAAAGGCAGATGAACAACCATTGATACCAGGCAACTATAAAATGTATATCTTGGCCCCAATGAGACTATTAACTCTTGCAGCACCGGGTGTTCGTAATTTTGGTTCAAGTGAATTGATAAACTTTTTGAAGGCAATTGACTCACATAGTTATGTAGATATCCCCGTCCTGTTGTCTCGGGATGCATCACGCTGCCTTGCCTGGGGTTAGCTTCTGTTTTCTGGGGATGAGGGTTGAGTGTGCTCCCTTACCTTCTCAAGGTAAGCTAGGTTAGTCTTCTTGTGTGAGCTTTTCAAGTGCACTTTAAGGTTTGTGGGATTTTTTCCCTTTAGAAATGTCCCTCATAATTTGTCTCTTTCCACTACAAGACACTTGCTTTATCCAAAACACAGTCATACTCAAAGTAATCCCAAATTGGACTCTGGCGCTTTCTCCCGACTTTTCCTGACATGATTCTGCGCGTGGACGGAGCAGCACAGACGACTCGACTAACGTACTGCCACCTGCTGGCATAATGAGACACGGCAAGAAAAAAAAACCTGGAAACTAAACTTCATTTTCACCCTTGACTATTGTATGACACGCACACATCAATGAAAACTAAACACATTTTTGCTATAAATTCAGTTAAAAACAAAAAAAGGAAAACTAACTAAGATTATTTCCGTTAACAAAAATGTTTTTTCACTTCTAGTTTTCGTTATTTCGTTAGTTTTCGTTAACGATAATAACTTTGCCGATTACAATCAGACTGTCTGCGGCAGCCTTGAAACGTCACGGTCTCAGTTTAAGAGTCTAAAAGTCATCTGAACTCATCTTCACTCAGATATTCTCCAGCGGTGACTATGATAAATGATCGATCGGTGATTAGAGTGTAACACAGTAAACGTTTGCAATGTAGGAAACTGACAGCGTCACTGTCCACAGAGTCACGGAGATGATAGATCTGTGATGTCATCACTGTCTCTGTCCTGATACATTGATTACTGATTGACTGTCAGAGCTTCGTGCTAAACACAAAAATAACAAACTAACATAAATGTGAGACTTCAGCGTTTGTAAAGACTTCTGCAGACTGTCTCCCCCGAGCTCCAACTTCATGAATCTGAGGTCAGTCAGCTGATTCAGGTGCAGCAGGAGGGGAGGAGTCAGGCAAAAAATACCTGCCAGCATACAGTTAGGTTCAGTGTTACCATGGTTACTGTCTCATAGTCGACGTTAACTCTCTTTCTCCCTCATCTCGAGGTTAAAAGACTCAGTTGTAACTGAACCTGTTTCCTGTAACGTGCCCCTGAGTGAGGCAGCACACTACCTGTCCTGTCGTGGAGCTGCATGCTGTGATCCCTTTGGGTGATTGTTTAATTTGTGTTTCAGGTGAAATCTCTCAGGTGCTGCTCGACTCGTTCCGTCAGGAGCTCCTCTTAAAGCAGACAATCCTACAGGAAGTGGCTCACACGGTGACCTCTGACCTCTGCATGGTCTTTCTGTCCTGCTGGCTCCATCAGCCGTTCATTCCCACGCAGAGCAGACTCAGGCTGGAGGCGTTGCTGCTGGAGACTGGGCACCGCCCACTGTGAGACCATCAGCCCTGTTGGAGATGAAGCACATGAAAGAGTCGCAACAGAGGAACGCCAGACTGATGAGTGACTCTATTGATCATCCATTAAACCTGATGCAGGTGTGACCCTGGCTCCACCTCGATGAAGGAGACTCACTCAGCCCCTTTTTTGTTTGAGATCACAGGCAATAAACTGATCAACACATGACCTGTCATCAGCACAGCGGAGCTCACCTGTCGCCTCACCTGTACTTGTGTGGCTTAATTCTGATGACATCATTAATATTAAACATCTCCACAAAGAACTTACCCGCTCAAGGGTTTGGTTGCCGTGGCGATGTTATGTTTGAAGCGTTTTTGTTTTTTCTTGTTACATCACGGATTGATGGCAAGTTTGTTCAAACCGGAAGCGACACACCTGGTCAGACTCTGCATGAGCCACCTATAGCGATGGCGTCTGGGTGCTGAAGCCCACAGCCCGCCCTTTATGGATGTGATGTGTTTATGTGCCTGAAATAAAGACGGAGGTCTTTGTACACATGAAAAGTGTACAATAAAGTTGTTTCAAATCTGCTGTGTGTGTTTTAAATTTTCAGTGGAAGCACAAGGTGGACATCCCTGGTTAGAGGGTTGACAGGTGTGTGCGTGAGAACACAGACGCTTTGAGGTGGGTGGAGTTCAGCTTAGTTTATTGGGAGGAACAGGAAACACTCGAACAGGACAACGTTTTTTCCCTCTGTTCTCGTGTCGGTTCTCCGAATGTTCTCATCCCGTTTGGAGAACGTGTTGTGTGAATTTTATAAAAAGTAATAAAATAGTGCAACTTTTTAAACTTTATCTACATATGAACATCCAACGGATCACTTCACGGTCAACGAGTCCAGACACAAAGTTTACACATTCACAGCCAATCAGGAGTCCAGGAAACCAGGGAGGCTGCTGATGACATCATCACAGGTGGCACTAAACGAGCCAATCAGATGCACTGTACAGAGCCCGGAGTCTGCAGAACACGCTACTGCACCTGGATGAAGGTGAAACCACCTGTCGCCATGACGCCATCCCTCTGGTTTCTGACGTCATGGCGAACATCATCAACAGGAGCTTCAGTCTGAACCAGAAATGACCGGACCTAAGTTTCCAGGTACGGTCTGGGGTCAGGTTAACGGAGTTGTTCGTCCTGTTGTCCTCAGCAGGGCGGAGTCAGAGCAGGCGCCCCCTGCAGGTGGCAGTGTTTACTACAGCTGTAAAGTCCAGCAGAAACCTGAGGGGGGCGCCGAAGGTGCAGGATGGTGTCAGGTACTTCTGTCTGCAGCACTGCCTCACTCCACCTTACAAGTCAGCGTGGTACAGACCAGGTGCTGGTTCCGGTCCAGGTGTTTACTGGGGGGCTTTGGCTCCGTCGGACGCCTCAATGCCCAGCAGGGCCTGGACCGCCTCCAGCGGCACGCCCTCCGGGGTCTGAATGTGCATGGTGGTTCCATCTGGCCCGTTAACGATCACAATCCCGTCTGAGCCCGGTTCTGCCAGCTGCACCGTCAGCCCCTCCGTCTGGATGTAGATCTCCTCGCCCTCCTGCACCTCTTTGGCCTCCGTGGGGCCCAACTCAGGGTGGGAGGGGCTTAGAGTCTGGATCAGGCTGGATTCAGGGTTGATGACAGATCCGGCTGTAGGGGTGGGCTCAGATGACTTTGTGTTCGTGGGGTCACTGGGACCTGAACCCAGAGCTTTCTCCAGCTCCGTCACCCGGGGTCCGATGTCTGTCGAGCTTGACGCCTGATCCTGGTGGACGTCATGGTCCTCACCTGGGGTCACTTCCATAGGGGTGTCAGGGGGCGGGGCCTGTGAGGAGCTGTGAGAAACACATTGCAGTGCAGTGAGACAGGAGCGCTTTCCACAAGTGACCTCACCTGAACTCGATTTTCTAGAAATGGCCGAGTAAAAATACATTCGCCACATTACGGAAACCCTGACCTCACAGGTAACCTGTGATCACATCGTCACCTCAGGGCGTGGCTACCACGCACATGTACTCAGCAAACAGGAGGTAGAGACAGCTCACCTGGAGGAGTCAGCAGAGACTGTCAACAGTCTGGTTCCCTCTGGAATCACGAGAGGAGCGACAGAGACCGAGCAGGACTTCAGAGGGGTCACAGAGGTCACCGCGGTCCCACCTGGTCGGACGACATGCAGAGAGATTAAGAAAGCAGAGATAGATGTTTTATCTGTAATTTAGCTGTAGATTAGGACATTCCGGCCATACCTGTTTTTGGCGTCTCGAGGCCATTGTGATGCACGGGGACGCTGTTCTCCATCTTGAACCTCTTGGATGGCGGCAGCATCTTAGAGTTCTGGGAAGGAGACTGATGCGGATTAGAACCGTACCTCTAATCTTCAGGTAAACCTCAGTGAGAAGCTGTGGTCGACCTCATTGTCAGCTACGACTCTAAAGCTGTGATTGGCTGCTTAGACTGACCGCCCGACCGTGCGGGGTCGTAGGCTTATCTTGTTATAACAACTTGGATGCAGGTGTGCTTACCTCCATGTATCGCACGTTCTTATTTGTTGAACTGGAGCCAGGAGACGCTCCAGGAACCACCTTCATCCTGTTCACCTCGTCCAGGATCCCTAGAGACCTGGCCACCTGAAACACAGCACGGTCTGGGTCACCTGTACGCCGCAGGGTCCACTTGTAACAGGCGTTCTGATGTCAGCATGGGCCTCACCTCTATGTTCCTGATTTCCAGGGGCGTGGCTCCACCCTGCGGGCTGCTGATGTAATCCTGGGCGGCCTGCCTCACCTGAGCCTGCAGGGACTCGAACTCACGGTAAATGTCTGGGAAATGAGTTCGACCCGGACCGCCGCGCTCCACCTGGAACAGCCAGGGCACATGATACACTGCAATAGCTGCACATCATTTACAGAGAAAATAAGAGTCAGTGCGATGAGAGAGCAGCTCAGTTTAAACTGTCAGCGGTTTGGAATAACATGCTCCACTGTCTTGTGCTCACATAATTTGCTCTGGCATTAATAAAGTATTCTGATTCTGAGCCCCTGATGATGTCACAGATCCTGGCAGGTGTGGATAAAGGTTTGTCCTTCGTGTGTGCGTACCTTTGCCAGCATTAGCTCCCACAGACTCATCACTTTGGTCAGACGAGGAAGAACGATGTCCATCAGCTCCTCATCCTCGCACTGCTCCACCACCTGTGAGCGACGTGATAGGACACTCAGGTGTTAGCGCATTAGGTGACTACACATAAATCAATATTTTTGAAGACCTTTACTCTGAAAGGAGCTGCTTCCTCCACCTTACCTCCTCTAGACGCTCTCGTCTTCTCTCTACCTGCTGCTCTGCTGTTACCATGGTAACACCCAACTTTGGAGGTCGACCACGACGACCTCTCCTACTCACGAGGCCCACAGTCACCTGCGAAAAATGAGCAATCAGATTCACCTGAGTGCTAACAGAGCAGGACGAGGTTTCTGTGCAAACTACTGTACAGGTGAGCTCACCTGGACAAGTGACAGATGTAGTCAAAGCTCTAATAAGAGTTGAACAAAGGTCTATTTACAGCAAAGCATCCCCGACAGCGCGTGAGGTCGCATATTGTGCCGTTTGTCCCATCGCAGACACCGTACAAAGAATGATTACTGTGTTTTGCCATTTTGTAGGACGATACTACTTTGTTGCTTTTATTTTGAAGGCAACATTTATCCTTTTTCAATTCAAGTGTGTCTGTGCGTGCATGAATGCAGCTTCACTGTAAATGTGTCAGAGCCCATGTTTCTGAGAAATGTGAGTTTTCTGAGAGATGAAAGTACTTTAGTTTGAATTAGAGCTGGGCGATAGAACGATCACGATATGTGTTGCGAAATAACTTTTTCTCGATAGAAAAATTTAACTATTGTGATAGGCCTCGTCTCTTGTCCTCTTAAAAAAAAAAAAAAAAAAGAACAGCCAATCCACATTAAGTAGTGCAGAGCCAAACCAATCACAGCCGCAGCGTCACGTGACTTGTTACGTACAGCACAAGTGCCAAGCCGCACATGTGTATTTGTTTGGGAAGCAGCCAGCCGCCGTGCCGCCCGGGTAATGGAGGAAACGAGTGTGGCGACTAGAGAAAAATCAACTGAGCGTGAGCGAAGAGAAAACCGATGATGGTTCCAATGCGGAGAGATTGTCGAACGGAAGAGCCATAGAAGTTCCGTAGTGTGAAGGTATTTCAGCTATTTCAAGTCTGACAAAAAACAGAGTAGCGCGCACTGTAAATGTGCCGAAAGCAAGTCTGGAAATACAATAAAGCGGTGCATGCTCAGGCTCTGACTGGAAGCGCTAATTCGTCATTCGTCTTTTGTCAGACTAAAGTACCTGTTAAAACTGTTTGAAAAGCTAAGCTATACAACGAGGGGAGATTGAGAATTTCCTTTTAGTTCTCAGTTTATTTGATATTGACAAAAGTTAGTCAGTTTTGTCTGTTCTTCTGTAAAACAAACTAAGATTTATTTTTAGAATTAATATTTTGTTTCTAAGTGGAATTGACAATTTAGTCTGTTTCGTTTGTTCTATTTTGAAACTTAAACGCTTTAGCGGCTGCCTTTTGTGTAGTTTGCAATATTTGCCTTTATCTGAAAAAGTCTCATGTTCCTTAAGTACATCTACCCTGTTGAACTTATTATGGGAAATAAATATTTAAATCAAAACAAGCTGCTGATTATTTCACATTTTACTTGTGAGCAACGGCACATTTAAATCTTACAAATATAGTTATTTGGCTTATATCGTGATAGATATCGTTATCGCCTGGAAATTTTAAAAAAAACATATCGTGATATGAAGAAAATATTATATCGCCCAGCTCTATTTTGAATTGGGATAAAGCACACCTGGAACACCAGGTGAAGTGACAAAGGAGCAGGCAGCAGTGCACTCTCTGCCAGGGACCTCTGAAGCACACGCAAGGTGAAGTGAGTGAACTGAAGCGGGTTACAAAGCAGCAGTTGTTTGTGCCAGGAGTAAAAATGAACTGAGTCACAGCTGGAGTTTTGTTCTTCACTCAAAGAGGAAGAAGCTTCTGCTTCGCAGTGTCACCTGTGTGCTCTCCACTGCAGACATTGAGCCCGACTGTAATGTTGCAGGGAGCAAATTTCTCTCCCTGAACAAGAACAAAGAGCTGAAAAGCTGAAGTCCTTCAACTACAACAGAACAGCGACGGCACTTTCACAGTCTGGGAACGATGATGACCGGCTAGCTGTAACATGAACTCTCACCGGCAGCCGTTCATCACTTTCATACTCCATGAGCAATCTCACCTTAGGAGGCGGCCCCAGTGACCGTCCCCGCCCTCGTCCCCGCCCCCTGCCTCGCCCTCGTCCTCGGGGACGGCCGGGGCCCCGATGATGGAGGCCTCTGAGTCCTACAGCTGCTGCTGGACCCCCCTCCACCTGCAGACGGACAACAGTCAGCTTACTGTCGACAGCTGTTATTATCCTGAATGTTTGATCTCCAGAAAGGGCTAACCAGCCATAATTAGCTGGTTAGTTAACAGCTTATTAACTGTACAGACAATAAGAAAATAAACTGTAGGATGACAGATCTCTGCTGTGATTGGTGGATGATTTCTCACTTTATTTGTTGCCGTGGCCGCAGGTTTGTCATCCTTATTTTTCTCCTCCTCCTCCTCCTCCTCCTCATTGACGCCGACTGTTGCCGTTTCCTCTGATTGGCTGTTGTCTGGACCCGGTGGGTCGCCAGGTGGCTCTGGCTCCCCGTGGGTCGGGTTCAGTTTGTAGTGGCGGTTCAGGCCGCCAGCACCGATGTAGGCCTTGTCGCAGGTCTGGCAGCGGTGGGACCGAGACTTGTGGCTGTAGGTGAGGGAGCTGCCGGGCGTGGCGCCATCCTTCCTGCTGCCCTCGCCGTCCTCCTCCTCCACGCTCATGTCAGAGTAGTCGTCTGAGTCGGACTGGTGACTTTCGGCGAGGTCCTCTGTCTTTATGAACTTGTAGTCTTTGGCTTTGTACTTCGGTGGTCTGGAGACCCGCCCGGACCGGGTTTGGACCTTCATTGCTTTTTTCTCCCTCTTCTTTGCCTTCTTCTCCTTCTCTTTTTGCTCACTTCTGTCCTTAGTGGGAGGGGCTGTAGAGGGCGTGGCCACCGTGACACATTGTGCAGCAGGCGCGGCGGTCTGTACTGGGACTGTCGTGACTGTGACAGGTGGTTTAATGGGACTTTTACGGGCAGCAGTCATCGTGCCGTTAGCAGGTGTTTTAATTAATGGAAAGCTAACAGTTTTAGCCACAGTAGTGGGTGGAGTCTTAATTATTGAAGGGATTGGGGTCTTAACAGTGGGTGCCGTGGACACTCTGATTGGTGTTGCCGTGGGTTTCTGACCTACGCTGGAGGCAACTGATGCCGTCTGGCCTGTCAGCTTGTGGACCAATGGTAGCAGTGAGCCGACCACGGGGGCGGGGCTCTGTAGCAGCAGCTGGATGGGCGGGTCTCCAGGATTCTGCTGCAGGAAGAACTGCTGACCCTCCTGACCAACCACGGGCTGGATGTGGATAATCTGAGTGCTGCTCACGCTGCCATTGGCTGACAGCTTCACTTGCGGCTGAGTGACCGACTTCTGCTGGGTGGCGGAGCCAGGCTTCACTTCCTGTTTGGGAGGCACCTGGATCTGGATCCTAACGGGCTCCGACTGGAAGGACAGACACACAGAAAGTAGATCAAAACACACGATGAGTGTGATTATTCAGAGATTTTTTACCGTGGCAACATTAAGATCACAAACTGAGTCGATGAAGAAGTTGGTTTAAGGATTCCTGAAGAGTGTATGGATAATGAAAATGGACTGATGAGTTCTTATGTCAGTGTGAAGCATTTAAAAGTTCTAAGGGCTCCAAATGTGAAAATTCACAACCAAACCCGTTTTTTATGTTTCTGAACCTGAAGTTGAAAAACTAACCGTGTGGTTAAGTAAACAGCAGGTAAACATGTTCATAAACATGGAGACGGCAGCCCACTGCGAGCTGCTGCTGTCACGCCTCACCTGCATCACCTGTCCAGGCCCCAATCGAGTTGGACTTTCTCAGCATGGATCTTCCTCCATGTAGCTCTTCATTTGCAATTCCACTCCCATCACACTGCTTTCTGCTTTCCAACTTCCCTCTGTCACTGATATTTCAGATTTCATCTGTAATTCAAAACCTTCTCCTTGTCAGCGAGACCCCATTCCTACAGTTCTGGTCAAGGCCTGTCTACCCTCTTTGCTTCCCCTCATACAGTGATGTCAATACGTATTTGATCACCCTGTTATTTTGCAAGTTCTCTTACTTAGAAATCATGGAGGGATCTACAATTTTCAGCATAGGTGCATTTCCATTGTGAGAGACAGAATCTAAAAAGAAAAAATCCAAAAATCACATTGTATGATTTTTGAACAATTTATTTGTGAATTACTGTGTCACGTATTTGACCACTTGCTTATCAGCCAGATTTCTGACCCTCAAAGACCTGTTATTTTGCTTTCAAATAGTCCAGCTACACTCTACACTCATAGCGCGGCTCAGCCAAACTCCAGTTTGCGGCAATGGCGGCCGCCACTAAGATTTAAAATTAATCATCTACAGGGTGGGCCATTTATATGGATACACCGTAATAACATGGGAATGGTTGGTGATATTAAAGTCCTGTTTGTGGCACATTAGTATATGTGAGGGGGCAAACTCCTCAAGATGGGTGGTGACCATGGTGGCCATTTAGAAGTCGGCCATCTTGGATACAACTTTTGTTTTTTCAATAGGAAGAGGGCCATGTGACACATCAAACTTATTGGTAATGTCACAAGAAAAACAATGGTGTGCTTGGTTTCAACGTAACTTTATTCTTTCATGAGTTATTTACAAGTTTCTCTTAGTTCACAGCCATTGACATGTCGAAGAGGTTAACACGTGAGGAGCGGATCGAAATTGTGTTGATATCTGGTGAACGCAGTAACCGGGTCATTGCAGCAGATTTCAATGCAAGACACCCTACGAGACCACCCATCTCCCATGCTACAGTTAGCAAACTGCTTGCTAAGTTTCGTGAAACTGGTTCAGTGTTGGATTTGCCAAAATGTGGACGCAAGAAAACTGTCACTAATGAAGAAACATCAGTGGCTGTCCTAGCTTCATTCAGCAACAGCCCACAGCGTAGCACTCGCTGCATGTCACTGGAGAGTGGTATTAGTCAAACATCCCTTCAGCGGATATTAGCTACTCACAAATGGCACCCTTACAAACTCCAGCTACTGCAGCATCTCAACGAGGATGACCCAGATCGGCACACAGAATTTGCAGAATGGGCAAAACAAAAATTGGAACAGGACCCTCGGTTCACGCAGAAGATTCTGTTCAGTGATGAGGCAAACTTTTATGTGAATGGTGAAGTTAACAAACAAAACCACCACTATTGGTCTGACACGAACCCACATTGGATGGATCCCTCCAAGACTGTTGGAACAACAAAAGTGATGGTTTGGTGTGGTATGTGGGGTACAACGATAGTGGGTCCATTCTTCATCAATGGAAACCTCAAGGCCACTGGATATTTGAAATTGCTACATGATGATGTGTTTCCCTCTTTATGCACTGAAGCTGGAACGTTCCCTGAGTTTTTCCAGCAAGGTGGTGCACCACCACATTATGGGTGCCAGGTCCGAGCATTCCTAGATGAACAGTTTCCTGGAAAGTGGATTGGTCGTCGTGGGCCAGTTGAATGGCCCCCAAGGTCTCCCGATCTGACCCCCTTAGACTTTTGTCTTTGGGGTCATCTGAAGGCAATTGTCTATGGTGTGAAGATACGAGATGTGCAGCACCTGAAACTACGGATACTGGATGGCTGTGCTGGCATTTCTCCTGCGGTGTTGCTATCAGTGTGTGAAGAGTGAGAGAAGAGTGTTGCATTGACAATCCAAAACAATGGGCAGCACATTGAACACATTTTATAAGTGGTCAGAAACTTGTAAATAACTCATGAAAGAATAAAGTTACGTTGAAACCAAGCACACCATTGTTTTTCTTGTGACATTACCAATAAGTTTGATGTGTCACATGGCCCTCTTCCTATTGAAAAAACAAAAGTTGTATCCAAGATGGCCGACTTCTAATTGGCCACCATGGTCACCACCCATCTTGAGGAGTTTGCCCCCTCACATATACTAATGTGCCACAAACAGGACTTTAATATTACGGTGTATCCATATAAATGGCCCACCCTGTATTCTTAACTTACCACTGGAACTGTTCCTGTTTCCTTCAAAGTTGCTGCCGTCACCCCAATATTGAAAAAACAAAACAAAAAAAAAAACAAAAACAAAACGGGTCTAGACCTCATAAATTTTGACAATTTTTGTCCTTTTTCCAATCTACCATTCCTCTCAAAAATTCTCAAGAAGATAGTTGCCACAACTCCACTCACACTTAACTAACAATAATCTGTATGAATAGTTCCAGTCTGGTTTTCTGGTTTAATTATGATTCTGCTCTCCCCCCATCCTCCCTCACCCTCTGTTTAGCCGAACTAAATTCATGGTTCTCTTCTAATTTTCTTAAACTCAACAGTAACAAATCCGAGCTTATCTTGGTCGGCTCTAAATCAACATTATCCAGAACCAACAGTTTCTCTATTACAATCAATACTCAATCAAAAAATAAAACTCCATTTCTTCCTCTGTGAAAAGCTTGGGTGTCATCCTCGACAGTACTCTATCTTTCAATTCCCACATCAATAATGTCACTCGGTCTGCATATTTTCAATTGTGCAACATTAATCGTCGCCGCCCTTTTCTCTCCCCACATGCCGCTGCCATTCTTGTCCATAGCCTTGCTTCTTTTTGGTCTTACTCAAAAATCCATCCACAAGCTCCAATGGGTCCAGAACTCTGCTGCCCGTATTATCATCAGGACCCCTTCTATCCATCACATCACTCCTGTCTTGCAGCAGCTTCATTGGCTCCCGGTCAAATATCACATCAATTTCAAAATGCTTCTGTATACATTTAAGGCTATTCGACATCTCTCCCTCTCTCTGATTTGGTTCAGATCACCATTCCATCTCGGTGTCTTAGATCTTCTTCTCTCTCTGTCCCCTCTCCCCGTCTTGCCACCATGGGGAGCAGGGCTTTCAGCTGCTCGACTCTGGAACTCCCTTCCTCCTGATATAAGAAATATCACTTCATTCTCTCTTTTTAAGTCTAGACTCAAAACTCACTTGTTCAAAACAGCTCATCCCACATAACACTCTGCTATTTCAAATGTGTTTTATGTCTTATGATTGTGTAAATTGCTTGCTTTTATTATTCTGCTGTGTACAGTGTCCTTGAGTGCTCTGAAAGGCGCTTTCAAATAAAATGTAGTATTATCATTATTTTTATTATTATGTGACCCACCTTTTTCTGGATCAAGGGGATCGAGCTTCCCGTCTGCATGGCCACCTGCTGGGCCACGCTCTTCAGCTGCTGGGAGGCGTTGTTCGGGCCTTTCAGGTTCTGCTGGGAGACCTGGATCTGCTGCTGTGACACCTGGACCTGCTGCTGTGACACCTGGACCTGCTGCTGCTGGGACTTGGTGACCTGGTTGATGACCTGCTGCAGCTGACTCGGATCCAGAGCTGCGCTGTGAGCCGGTTTGATCAGCTGGCCCTGCTGGAGCAGCTGGGCCGCCTCGGTGTCGGAAACCTGGACCACCTGCTGCTTGGTGAGCTGCTCCAGCAGCGCCTGCTGCTCCTCTGCCGTCAGCCCGGAGCTCTCCACCAGACTGCCGTCTGGCTGCACGTACAGGATGGTGGTGTTAGCCAGGTCGGTGAACTCCGTGGCCACCAGAATGCTCTGCTCCTCCGGCTGGCTCGGCAGTAGCTCCGCCAGCTGAGCCCCGGACGCCACCGGTACACTGTGGCCCAGCTGGTCGCCCTCCGTGCCGGACACGGGCTTCAGATTGCCGCTCTGGTTGCCGGCCGCCGCTACGTTCTCCCCGGGCTTGCTGCTGTGAGCAGCGGGGGTTGCTGGTGAGCCGTCCCCGGGCTGGGCGCTCAGGGCGGTGGGGGGCTGATCCGCGGCCCCCGACGACTCCGGGGCTGTTATTGTTCTGTCACCCTCGCTGTCCGCCATTTTGGCTGTGAGGTTGGAGTCAGTGCAGACACTCGGGGGATGAAACCAACCGGATCGATCGATCGATTACACCGAATAAATACTGATTTATGGACGTTGTGTGTGCACGAAGCAGAAACGCTCCGCGGGGATGAAGGACGACATTAACGGGAGCAGTGATACCGGGAGCGCTGACGGTTAGCGGGGGGAGATTTGAACTAGCCTAGCTTAGCCCGAGCAGGAGCGGGAGCGCGCATTTCCCGGAGCGGATCCAGTGTTTCACCGTGAAAAGATCCGGCGTGGGTCATCTTTAAAAAAGTTTAAAATCACTTTAAAAGTGTGTAAAATCACAGCCGAGTTTAGTTCACTGAAGATTAATAGAAAATAAAATCGCATTTACATTAAAGATACCCTAAGCGTTTTAAAATAAAGACATTTTGACGAAAAGCTGTTTGTGAGCAAACAGCACATTATGATTGATTAGAGAGTTTTGTATACCGGATATTTCACTAATTTCATCTTTATATTGATTTACTTTTATAAATGTATCTCCAGAAAACACATACACAAAATCAAGTTAAATTAATCCAGTCATTCATTTTTCACCAGTTTTACTCGTCTGTTCCAGTTAAAAATATTTGTTAATCTGATCCAGTTTCCTTGTTTTCCAGTCAGCTGTCGTCGAGTTTCCGTTTCCGGTCATTAAATTCTGAATGTTTATGTTTATTTATTAATTATAAGGCGGGAGATGGAGTTTTATCGGTGAAGTTTTAGTTTTACCCAGAATAAACAAACACCTAAAATAAAAATAAAAACCGGAAGCTGAGGGGAGCCGCAGCTTCTTGATGCATGTGACCAGCAGGTGGCGCAGTTTGCGGATGGCCTCGGTGGAAGCAGTCACGCAGGGCGATGTCACCTGTCCGATCCCCAACATCCAGCTGCACCAAAAACACCTGGATCAACATCTGCGCGGCCTCGTTCGCGGGCAGCTTTCGGTGAGATGTCACGATCTCCTTCACGCGCCGGTGTTAGCCAGCGTGCTAACAGCGTTCGACACTGATGCTAGCCCGGACACTTATGTGTAAACAACGCGGTGACTGTTTGTTTATTTAATTATTTCTTTGTTTGTTCACTTCGTTTTGGGGATATTTATTCTCAGTTGTCACCTTCCACAGAAGCTTACCGAGCTAACATCAGCCTTTTGCAGCGTCAAACCAAACTCCGTTCAGTAAACGGCCATTTTTAAGATCCGCTGAGTTTGGAACACAAGAACAGAAGCTTAAGGGAAACCAAGACTTTCCATAACATCCAGCAAACGGTTCTGCTTTATTTGGCACAAGTCTGCTCCACCGAACAGGCTTTAAATCCGGTTAAATTTCAACGTTTGTTCAGGCTGGTCGCTTTCAAACTGCAGATTCACCTTTATTGTTATTTTAATGAAGAGTAGAATGACGTCGCTGGCTCCTTTATATTGCGTCTGCGCGGCGTGTAGCTGCCAGATGTCGAACCGCAAATATGTTTTTGGCGTAAAGGCTCATTGATAATTGATCGGGAATAGGGACTTTCATGGCGTCCACGCCGAACTCCACTTAACAAACGGAGATTTTACTGTGAATCCGCCTCAGCGAAAATTAGATCAGTGTTCAGCAGCACCGTTTGAGCTTGGCTAGCGTTTTTTTTTAATTCGGTGTCTGTTTGATCCACTGAGCTGCCGTACTATCGGTGCTTCAGGGCGCCGCCCTCGCAGACTGGTGAAGGGTTAAAGATTAAAACCCTGACGGTAGTGGCGTTCCCAGAACAGCCAGAAGGTTCTAAACAGATATTCACTGAACTCTTTGGTCCAGGCTCCTGCAGGTGATGAGCAGGTTTTTCACCTGTCCTCAGGTGTATTTCTGTGTTGTTGTTTTTTGCTAGGATCAGCTGAGTTCACCTCGGTAGTAACATGGCTGCTCAGCTGGCCCCGCAGTCTGTCCTGAGGGAGTTCTGCCCACTCTACTACCTGCTGAATGCCATCCCAGCCAAGGTATGTACCTGTCGAGGTGTGGATGATGATGATGATGGTGTCAGAGATGAAGCTGAGGGGTCCCCTGTTTCCCTGCAGGTGCAGCGGGGCTTCAGGTCAGTCCTGGTTTACCTGACAGCTTTGGACAGTAGCAGTGACTTCCTGGCTGTGGGCAGCAGCATTGGTATGCTCTACCTGTACTGCCGCCGGCTCGCACACCTGAACAAATACAGCTTAGAGGTGAGAGGTCTTTTCCTACAATACTTAGATACTAAGTGTTGGGGAGGTTTATGTGGACTTCTGTCAGACAGGCAATGGCACACAGGTGATGTCAGATAGCTGGCAGGTTAAATAAAGACAGAAATTATATTTGGATTCTTTAAACGGGTACTTTTGCATCTGCATGATGCGCTCAGACTTTCATTAACTCGTTTACACTGATGCAGGTGTTCTCAGACAGGTGACAATCATATCCTGCAGTCATGTGACCAGTGATGCATTCAGGTTCAGGTGTTACAGGTTACATTTGGTTCAACCTCAGACTCTCCTGGAGCCACCTGTGAGAGCTTGAAAAGGTTTGAACAGGAGTGAGACGCACCGAGACAGATCACATGATAAAAACATGTTGCAGTGCATGGTGAGATGTTTGTTCACCACAGACAGGACAGGTAACAAGTTCACACCTGGAAGACCGAGAGACAGGTGACTGCTTTTGACCTGTGTGTGTAACAGGGGAAGTATGATGCAATCACAGCTGTGAAGCTGCTCAGCTGCTTTGATGACCTGGTTGCTGTAGGAACCTCTTCAGGACGGGTTGCAGTCTTTCAGCTGGTATCTCCGCTTCCTGGTCGCAACAAACAGGTAAGAAGATTGATTGACAATGAACGCTGTTGTTACCCCCTCTGCCTCTGTGCACCCGTGTCACACACACACACACACACACACACAGCTGTCTGTCTCTGTGCAGCTGCGGCGTTTCGATGTTGTCGGCCTCCATAAAGGCACTGTCACAGCGTTGGCGTGGAGCACAAACGGGATGAAGCTTTTCTCCGGTGACGATAAAGGACGAGTTGTGTTCACCTCTCTGGACCTGGACCAGGTAAATACCCACACTGCCTCCGTCCTTTCCATTGTAGCACACACGCCCTTACGCCGTGTGTGTGCGTCCGTGCAGGGGGTGTGTAAGCCTGTGTTGCTGCTGGAGGAGTCCTCAGGTGTGGTTCAGATGGAGTATAGTCACCAGGTGCTGCTGGTATCAACGCAGCAGAGATCCCTGCTATACTGCACACAGAAACAGGAAGTGCTACAGCTGGGCACCAAGCCCCGCAAGAGGTAACCCCAGACCCCACCTATCCCCATCCCCTTACCCCATCCTCATCTCACCTCCTGTTGCAGATGTGTGTCGTATTTTGAAATAAATTTTTACCCGTTGCCATAGCGACCAGAGAGCATTAAGTGGCAGAGAGGAGGGTGTCAGTGTTGTTGCCGCATTTCAGGAGGATGCTGCTAATAAAATTACACAATTACACAGTGAATTTGCGTTTATTATTATATTTACAAAATGCCACAGTTTTTGTCTTGGTCGTGTCCTTTTATTTTCTTATATTTGTCTGCCACACCTTAAAGGCCGGTCCGTGAAAATATTGTCTGACATTAAACCGGTCTGTGGCCCAAAAAAGTTTGGGGACCGCTGTTGTAAGGTAAAGACCCTAAAATTTTACCGGTTACTGATTTAGTGGTACTCGTCTATATTATCTATACCTGTGCTCACTGGTGATACTCGTACACAGAAGCATCACTTGTACCTGTACTGATACTGTGGAATTTGTGTGCTGTTACAGCAGTGGACGGTTCGGAGCCTGTTTCCTACCTGCTCTCTGTAAACAGAGTGACCTTCAGGTGTTTGCTGCTCGACCTGGACTCAGACTGTGGAGGTCTGACATCAGAGGACAGGTGGAGGACACCCGGCTGCTCAAGCCCCTCTTTAACTCACAGGTACACTGGGAACACCAACACATACCTATACATATACACTGAAATTGATACACCTGTGTTAGTAACAGACCTGTTTTCTGTACACCTGCCTGACTCAGATACCTCAGTTTGAGTTGTTTCCTCGTCCTGACCCGATCGGAGGGTACCGTCCAGCAGACCGCCAGCTCGGGCTGCTTAGTTGTTTCCTGAAAGAGGGCTGGATCCTCAGTTGGAATGAGTACAGCATCTATGTCCTGGACTGTCTGAACCAGGTACTTCTGATTGAATGATGTGATCTTTAGGATAATGTGGGGTATGATTATTCATGACATTAAGGCTTTTAAATTAAATTCTGGACCAAACAGGGAGCAAGTAAAAGAGAAGCCAGTATGGGAAAAAATATGGGGGATAGGGTTTTTGAGGCAGTGTTAATTTTCACAATAAATTTGGACTTAGTTTCAGTCTTAATTTAGGCATCTACATTTTTTTCGTTTTAGTCTGTTTTCAGCTGACTAAATATCATAAGGTTATCGTAGACTGGAGGTTAAGTAATCTGACCAAAATATAAAATGTAAAAGTGTGTTGTGTTTTTACCGGCGACGGTTGCTCCACACGGTTTACAAACAGTCTTCTTTTACTTCACGTCAAATGTGTACTCTGGAATTGTGGGCGTCACATGACCAATATAGCAGCTTAACAGACAAGTTCTGAAAACCGCGTGCTTCTTTTTTCAAAGCAGCTCCATCTCTTAATAAGGACACAATACTGGTATGTCAACACCTTCGGCACTAACACAGAGCCAAAGTTTTACTTGTCCACAAAGTAGCCCAAATACTAACATGGCTAGCACAAACAAAGGCACTGTGCGGTCAAACTTTAGAACAAAGTTCAATAATATCAATATCACTGTTGAAATTGCAAAGGCTTTGACTGCACTGGAAAGTGACAGAGATAAGATGTAATGACCATATGCAGCACTGGGGCTGTGCGATATGACTAAAATCTCATATCCCCATATGAGACATATATCGCAAAGTGGTGCACTTTCTGTAAATTCAGTGAATTTCGGCATGAAACGATATATTTTTAGATATAAGTTGTAACAGCTGATAGGTTTGTAGCTTGAACCTATCCGCTGGAACGTTGAGGACAATATAATTACACAGCGAAGCAAGACACGAGTAGGCAAAGTTCTTCATGTTACTCATGCATGAGGGAGTCCTGCCTGGAGCCGAGTGTTGTTCCACCACCTCCGTCAGACTCTCAGCCAGGCTCCCCATAGCACTCCTTTTATTGTGGTTACATGAATATGCATAGGGTCATTAACATATGACATCTTACATAGGTATACATGTGAACAAAGAATAGTGTGTGTGTGTGTGTGTGTGTGTGTGTGTGTGTGTGTGTGTGTGTGTGTGTGTGTGTGTGTGTGTGTGTGTGGTCAAGGTGTGACCCTGTGAAGACTCCCCAAACGCTGGTGCCAGGAGCGGGTCCATCTGAACAAAAGGCTCTTATACTTAAACAGATATACGTGTGTTTGCTATACCATATATCAGCAAGAGAAGATACGACCTCTCCTAGGAGGTGTGTGATCTATGCCAGAACACTCTGTAGAGGGAGTGAACGCACTCCCCCTTCATGCTACTC